CCCCTTTATCTGTTGTGTTGAAGGAATCCATAGATGTAGAGTTTTCATGTCCTTTAATGGAAGAAATTGTGAGAACCTGGCCCTTATTCACTTTGAGATTTCGGATCTGGACCCATAGTGGTCTAAAGAGCTTATCTCATCTTGCTTTATGTTGAGTTATAGAGGTGTTGAGCTTAGGGTGTTATTTTAGGGGCTAAATCACCAAGTGAAACCTCCTAGACGTCCCATGAGTGTCAACATTCGAGATTTACGTGTTTATCAGGATTGGGAAGGTCAGATCTATGGATCAAAGGCACAGATCTGACCATAGGAGGTCAATTAAGTTTGTGCATGGCATGAACTCGCCGAGTCCAAGGGCAGACTCGGCGAGTAGGGTTAGGATTTCCCGTAAATCACTCAATGAGTAGACTCACCGAGTTGGGGGAATAACTCAGTGAGTCAGAGAGGGATTAGAGAACTGGAGTTCAAGGCGGAACTCGTTGAGTTGATCTTGAGACTCGGCGAGTTGAGTCGGGGTGGCCCCACGATTGATGCCAGGTGTGACTCATCGAGCAAGGGGAGGGACTCGACATGCCAAACGAGACTAGAGAGTTAGTGGACACGTGTAGACTCGCCGAGTTGCCCAAGTGCACTCGACGAGTCAGGTCAAAGTTTGACCGTTGACTTTTGTTGACTTTTAGGGTTTGGTCAACAATGGGGGCTTTGGGCCAAAAGAGGGGTAAAATGGTCTTTTACCCTTCTGAGGGTGCCAAGAGAGGGTTGAGTCTAGTCCCAAGAGTTATATTTGAGGGTATTTACTTTATGTGATTAGGCGGAGGCTAGATCGTATTTCTACCGAGTCAGAGATTTACTGAGACATCTGAGGTGAGTCTTCTCACTATACTCTACCTTGAGTGGTAATTAGAGTTATGCAACAGAGTTAATGTATGCTATTTATGTGATGTGTTGCACTGCATTATTTCTATGTGATTTATGCCATGTGTTTATCAGAGTATATCAGAGTTAGAACCGAAAGGTTCACAGAGCTAGGACCAGAGGGTCCACAGAGTTAGGGCCCAGGGGCCCACAAATTTATAGCCTCGAGTGGCTAGTATGTGTTATGTATGGTATTTTTGGGAACTCACTAAGTTTTATGCTTATAGTGTTATGTGTTATGTGTTTCAAGTACCAGTGATGATCACGGGAAGGCGCCGTCATGATTCATACACACGCATGGGATCTTATGTATTTTGATCTTGGGAAATGTTTTTGTGAAATGAAGATATGATACAATGAGATTTTGTTAATAAATGTGTTTGGAAAATGCGTTTTAAAAATGCGAAAAATTATCTTAAATTTTACGGTGTTACACACAATATCTCCCGATGGTCCACCCACACGCCACCATGGCAGGGTTGTCTCACGTGCTGCTATTCAACCCCAGGGATCTGGATCCTATGGATCCGGTGTCCCGTTTTCAGTAGACGTCAGGTTCAACCCCCACACTGTCTCAGCTGCAAGTAACAAGCATGCATACCTCGTCCAACCAGGGGTCTGGCTCCTATGGATCCGGTGTCCCGTTTTCAGTAGCATCTGAATTCAACCCCCTCATGGCATCTGGTCAACCGTTCAGTCTGTACACACAACAGTACACATGAGCAAGCCTATATATGGCTCCCTTAGCAGGGCAATATGCAATCCAACACTTTGGATTGCAGCCAAACCTACAGCAGCATCAATCGTACATCTCACAAGCAGCCATCCATAACTAGTTGTACAGCAACACATGGCTTATGGTGGTATGTCGTACTCATACATGGACATCCTAATGTGAAGCGTAAGCTCCAACTTCAACCATGAACTACTACACTATCAGATCCCACACGCTGCAATGATACCAAACATGCCAAAGTATAACGGTACTACAGACCCAAATGACCACATCGAAAACTATGAATGGACGATAACATCTCTCAAGATGGACCATCGCTTCACCTGCACATATTTCCCCTGCGCCCTGACAGGAAACGAAAGCAAGTGGTTCAAGTCTCTAAGGCCAGGTAGTATCTCAAGTTTCAAGCAGTTGAAATACCTTTTCCTCAACAATTTCATGCAATTGTAAAAAGGAAAAGGGGACACCAACTCTATGATGGCGTGCAAGATAAAGAAGGAGAATTGATTTGTGACTATTATGACCGATTCATGCTAGCTACCCTGAACTTCCTAGGACATGAAGAGTTCCTGGTGATAGGTGCCTTCTCCCAAAATCTGCTTCATGGACCCCTACCGAGGAAGATGCAAGGAACAATCCTTAGATCCAGGTACGAACTCAAGTTTCGTGTGGAAAAATACATGCATCAATTTGAAGGGGGAAGAGCGAAAAGAGACCAATCTCAAAGTCGTAGCTAACGCCTATCTCAAACAGGAAGAAGCGACATCCCGGACAACACCAGTTTAGTAAGAGAGGCAAGATGACAACTAGCAGAGACACAATCGCCATTCCAGGCACATGTCATGACAGTATCAACCATTCAACAGAGGTGAGAATAGGAGCAGCCACAATGATGTCCACACAATCAATAAGACTCCAGCCAAGGAGAACAAAGACAAGACCAAGTTTTGTGAGTATCATCGAAGTAAAACCCGTGACACCAAAGAGTGCACAGTATTGAAGTGGGAGATTGATGAGAAACAACTAGTGGGAAATATAGTCGACATAGCAAAAGACCTCATGGAAAAATTCGATGGGGATAAGCACCAGCCCCAAGAATCAAAAGGATGAGGCAAGTATCACGAAAGAAGGGCCGAGATACTTACCATCATAGGGGGCACACCCATGTAGCAACCGATAGAGCTAGTGTGTGGGTGTGCAGGTATACCATCAAAACACCCTCAATGTAGCATTTCTAACACACAATCCCCGACCAGAGCACTAGGATACGAATGAACCTTTGCATATCATTGGTTTCATTAGCCAAAATCATGTCGAGCAAGTGTACATCGATACTGGAAGTAGGGTCAATGTGATTGATGAACACTGTCTTCGACAGTTACCAGTTGAATGGAAAAAGCACATCCAGCTACCACGCCAGGGCCCACTAGTTGGGTTCACCGGTCATGGCATCTGGCCAACAAGAACAGTCATGCTCCTATTTACATTGATCAGTCAAGATGGAACTAAATAGATAATAACGGCGCTCGAATTCTCAGTGGTCGGCCGCCCAGCTGACCACAATATTCTACTAGGCTGGCAAGCACTGTTCTATTTGCAAGCAATTCTTTCATGGTACTCTCAAATTCAGCACAGGTAACGGATCGGAAACGGTAGTGGCAACCAATTCGGGTAATGGATGTGAAGCCCAACGAGAACAGCAATGAGAAACCCAATTGTCTCGGAGTGAGGGTTGCCAGCAGGTGGACGGTCCTAGCGAAGAACGGCAGCAGCACAAGCGATGATCCATGAATCCAAGAAAAGGCAAAGAGATGTATTCAGTCGGCTCACAACATCTAATCCACACAAAGAAAAATGCGCTGAACTACAGATCAATCAGCCAGAGTATGAAGAGAAAATCACAAAGCAAATAGGCACCTCCTCACAGGCAAGGGCACCAGCCAGGCCCACAACCGATGGCTGAGCCGTGCCCAACTAGGGAGTGATTCAAAATTCAAAGTACATTTTGGCAAATGCAGAGTTCGAACCAAAACCTCATGGAATGAAGGAAATAGGCACCATAAGCACCGAAGTTAGAGGCAAAATACCAATCCTCCCATCACGCACGCTTTCATATGGAAGAAAACTAGCAGGTTCTCCTGACGCACTGAACAACATCCCAAGCGACGGTGCGATGCGTAAGGTTGATAGGCGTGCCAGAGAGCGCGGGGGGGCACTTTCACCAAGCTACAGGAAATCACTTTCCATGGTTTCACCTTGCATTGCATTGAGAAGATATGGGAGTTCAAGCACCTCCAGAGCATGCACAGCAAAATCCACCTCTTTCACGTTAGGCATCGTTGGTGGAAACAAGAGGAAACTCCAACCTATCAAGACACACTCGTAGCGGATGAGACACAGTTGCAATGAGATATCCATAGCATAGCACTCAATCAAAAAACAAAGTGGAGGGATAGAAAAAAGGAGTATGGTCAAACTCAACACGAGATAACCATACTCTAGGTGCCAAAGCGAAAATCGGGCATACACCCTGACACTTAGACATCCAGGGTCTATTGTCTCATGTTTTTCTTTTTCTTTCTAGTAATAATATAATTTGCATTTCAAAAGAACCTTCCAGAATTATGTATTTCAAAAACAAAAAGTATAGAGGTTGTGCGTATTTTCCAAGTAGCAACAACGGCTGATCACCTATGCTACTTGAGCAAAATATGTGTAAGAATGCAACCATAGGTCTCAAAAGAGTCATAATCTTTACTTACAATGTGCCAATGAAATCTTAGAGCTGAGAATATATAAAATCAATGGCACAAAACATGGGGTTCTAAAAGATTCATAACCTTTCCCCTGATAATACAACAGTAGAAGGCCTTGAGGTGACAATCTCGGCCTATGTATTAGCAGCTATACTATACAGTACAACCCACAACAGTGCCTTACATTTCACGGCTTAACACATTAATCCTAAATAAACACACATAGCTCAATAATAGCAGTTATGTGGCGTCTGAATCACACATTAGCTTATTAACACAGACCCTAGAACAAGGGAGTGTGCAGTAGAATAGCTTGTCCTTAAAGATACCACAGGACAATTCATAATATATGTGTTAACATGCCACAAATGTGTATACATACAAAAAGAAAATGAAATATAACACTTCCAAACAAAGTACAAAACAAAATGCACAATTTATGGTTATCAACAACCAACATTTTTTACCATACACATAGTACATAAAACGACAACTACATTACACAACGAATAAACGGGAAAAATCCAAATCAGCCATCGGAGTCTGAGGAAGAACCTCCCAGATTCAGCCTGTGAAACATTTGACGGAAGCCGTCATAATCCAGCTCCCCCCAAGCGAAAAAGGCCTGCGAAATCCGTCTCAGCAAGGGACAACAAAGCGGCATCCACCTCTTCAGCCTTTCTTTTAACACCGCCAGGATCTGGGACTTCAGGTTCTCCAGGACGTGTAGAGCAACCACATAGTTGCTTCCCCTTTTCAAACCTAAGGGCCTCACATGCCTCACAAACACCTTGGACCCCGCTGGCAAACTCCCCGCTCTCGATAACTTTATCAATTATGCGAACCACTCCCTTCTCCAGCATCTGTTGCAAACTACCTCAATCAACCGCACCATTAACACGAGCACGGGCCAGTTGATGTTGGCACTTGGCCAACTCACTCACCAGTGCACCTTTATCCCGAATAAGAGAACTCACTTGGTCTTCAAGTCGCTCCTATTGGTCCTCTAAAGTGGCCACTTGATCCTCAAAAGCAGCCTTCTCACAGCCCATAATGCAGTTCTGCTAAAAAAAACTTGGCGCTCTGCCTCCAAATCACGGGCTTCCTCCTGCATGCCTGCCAAGGCACCCTACAATAATTTTAATTGCCTCTCATTCGCACCAGCGCGTCAATCCCGGTCGGCGGCAGCAACCATAAGGGCAGAAGTCTGGGCCACAGCATAGCAAAGGTCACCAACCATGCGACCACTTCATTGACCCGCAAGCGAACTCATTATAGTTGAGGGATGAGCACATCTACTCTACTCCTGGGCGGCAGTATCTTCCGATAGTAAGGAATCTCAAGTAATCACCCAGTCCGAAGCATAGGCCTCGAAAGATAGGGAATGAGATAAAGTTCCTATTTGGTCAAATAGGGAAGGCTTCTTCTGCTGAAAAGAACCTCCATGCGAACTCGGCGCACCCCCAGACATAGAGTCGGAACCAAGATTAACCAAGGGTGAAACAACAAATGGTGAGGGTGACGCCTCTGGAGAACAAGGCAACACCACTATCTCTTTCTACTCAGGCACAGAAACCAATCACCAAGAATACCCCCAATACTACCAAGAAGCTTGGCCCCAGATACAGTCCTATGCGCTTTACGAGGACAAACACCCACATCATCAGATTCCGTCTCCTCGTCTAACGATGGAACCACGCGTAAACTTTTCCTTTTCCAAATAGAAGCATTACCTTTTCCTGCTCGTACCCCCACAGGCAAACTAGAAGGAACAGTAATCGACGAACAAACTAGGGAAGCAACCCCAACGGCTGATTGGGAAGGCGATGGTGGCCCGCTAGAACCAACATTTCCCACTTCCACCAACCGCAACCTAGAAAACTCTCGCATGCGCCTTTCAGACATAGGAGTGGGGAGAGCATCTACAAGATCGATATCCCGGTGATAGAGCCTACCCCGATAGTGGCCGTGCAGGGCCATCTCCAAAGAAATCTTGGCTTTAGCACTTATGCAAATAAAAGTTGAATATAAGGACTCATAAGATAACCTGTTCCTACCCCCCCCCCCCCTTTTTCCTTTATCAAAAAAAGAGGGGGGGGGGGAGAAGGAGACGAGTGGATATTGCATCTCACGATGTACAATTGTGCCATCTTCCCATGAGCTCGCTAGGCGGCACTCATACCAACCGCAACAAGAACATAATCTTCCCAATTCTCCCCAACAACAGTGATGTTTCCTAGTCATCTGCTGAGGGTTAGGTTACTCCTGAACAATTTGGGAAGGCGGTCAGGAAAGTCTCGTGTTTTGCAAAACCCACACCCCACAAGGTTCCGATTAACCCAGAGCCATTGCCTTTGCCAATTTTTCTTTGGGGCATCTTGTTCAGAGATTAACTAATGAATTCCCTGCCTTTTCGCCAAAGTACGAACACCGGAATTCGGGGTTGAACAAAAGAAGTAATTGAAAACCCATAAGGTGGGTCAAACCAAAGATCGGCCAATTAGTTCAAAACCAACGATTTTATTAACAGCACTCGGAGTCAACTCGTCGAAAAAGAGACCATAGTGGTCCATAATCATGTTGAAGAAATTGGATGTCGGCGAGTGTAACCCCGCCTTGAATAGAGAGATCAAAACTCCCACCTTCTCTTGAGGGCAATCATAGATTGATACCCCCTTTTTCGGAATCATTACACCATGATCTTGTAAGAAACTAAAGCGACCCTACAGAAGCTGAAACTCCTCTAGAGTAGGGACTCTGCCATAACAATCCATTGTCGAAAAAGAATGAACAATCGAAAAAGAAATTAATGGAATACCCATATTGATACAACAAAGCAGAAGTGGGGATGTGAGGATGAAAAGCTTAGAGAAACGGGGGTATTTTAAAGGTGAAACTGGCATCACGAACTGTCTCCCAACATAACTGAAACACATTGACGGCGTTTCCTAAAGCCTGTCAAATGATAGAGGTGATCCGAGACATACACGTGTTGAAATGTAGGCTCGAACGGTTATGTTGTCAAGCCGACACATACACCTACAAGCCTAAGGGACTTATTAATGTATCCCTTAGTTGAACGTCAATAAAAAATCAAACTAACGCCGGGCTTGGCCTAGCCAGAGTCTAGTCTAAAGCTAAGTCCAGGCCTTCGCCAACACAAAGATCACTGATATGGCAGTTAAGGTGCAGAGCCGCATCTTAACCCCATCTCCAGAAAATTATATCCCAACAAACGCGGGACCAATCATAGAGTCCCACTCGCCCATTATACGATAGACACAATCTTCATAACAAATAAAATATCTCCTTCTAGCCAATGAGGGAAGGAGGCAAAAGATATGATGGAGGATCCTCCAATATAGGTCCGCCACGTTGCTCCTCACAAGGGAATACTCAACAGAATCATTTGAGGGACACGCCTCTAAAACAGGTATAAAAGGATCCTTCTTCCACACGAAAAAGGGGACATAATTCTCTTTCTTCTGTAATCTATTACAATCTCTCTCAGATCTCACACTAACTTGATCGTTGGAGCTTCGTCCCAGGAACTCCTCATGGACGCCGGCTAATGGTCATTTCCTCTTTTGCACTGTGATAATAGGAGAAGATACCTACACGGATCTCCCCTATAGTTCCAACTCAATCCTCTCCAGCATATCACAACATTAATCTTAAAGAAATTCGTAGTAGTCATAATGATGATTGTTTGGGTATGAAGAAATGGCATATGATAATTTCTTGAAATATACTAACCATACAAACATAAAGAAATATGATCCTTTGATGGAGAATTAAATACTCCGAACACAGTGTCTCATACCTATTAATTATATGTGCATAATCAATAAAAGCATGAAGGAATACATACCCGTGAGGTCTTGAAGTCTTGATTTTACCTCCTGAAAAATCAGGAATAATGGGGTCTGAGCTGTCCCAACCTCCATATGTGGAAAATTTTCCCTAATGTGACTAGGTTGATGACAACAATGGCATAATTCTACCTCCATGGTGCAATTTTGGCGACACATGGCCTTTCCATCCACACCTACCGCATTTGAACTTGCAGCGCATGGGCTCGTGAGTTCCTCTACCCATAACATAAATTTTGTGGTTCCTCTAGCCTCCAATACTTGGCATGAAAACATCAAGCCTCTTAGATGTTGTTAGCATATTCGGGTCATGAGTCCACTTTCTCTATCCCAGTCGCGTCTCCAAACCAAGCTCCCGCTTTTGAGTCGCCTTGTCAGTCCTATCAACTGTCTAAATGGTTACAATCTGCTCCTCAAATTTGGCAACCTCTCAGTGATATGTACAATAACTCCAAGCAAATTCTCTAGTAAGGTATGTGAAAGATCAAGGACAATCCAATCACAGGCTCGATCCCTTTAAAGGTGGGATGCAAATCTCCCCTTTAATCCCTCATGGTAGAAACTAGTCCGTTGAGCATTCATTGTTTCAGCAAACCACCGTTTACTGGAAATAGGGTCCTTCATTCCGAAGAACTTAGGGGATCTGCAAGCCTTGATATCCCAAAAAAAGAGAGTTGATGCACTGATCTGATGAACCGCAATCTCTGCATGAAAAAACCCCAATTCGATCATTCAACATCTCCATGATCCCCTCCTTGATGGCACCAAACATCATAGGAGTCACGTCCAAAATATTATGAGTGATATCAGACATAAAGAACTCACACATCCTATCATCAATCGGCTCAACGCCAGAGCCTGAGCCCTAACCAGAACCAGAATCTCCTCTGTGAGTGCTCATCATCATACTGAAAAGGTAGCCATACAAATAATCAATACATACCCAAAGAATTCCTCATTCCATAGGCTTCCTAGAATCCTCGTCACTTTCCTTGGTTGGAGTATGGATTATGTGCTTTCAGTACCATGGGCCTAATACTATCTTCCACAACTATCCATACTTTCCTCAAGAATCATCCTGAATCCTCTAAGTCGCCTCCTTATAATGATACTCCCAAAACCCATTAAACAACACACCATTCACACTAAATCACTTCTTAGGCTCTCCTAGGATCCCCGCCTCGCACTGCTATAAGCTACTAAAAGACTCCGACTAATGTCAGATAACTACTTCATGAATACAATTACATGACACAAAACTTAAATAATCTTTTGACTAAAAGACCTAGCCCTACAACGGTTAGACTCAAATGAGAGTTGCACAATAGGACCAAATTAATCATTCTAAAATTGTTTAAACTTTACAAGATGTAACTTAACGTATTCATTTAATATTTAAATCACATCAATATGAGTCCTACAAAGCACAAAGCAAGCAACATTCAAGCAGTAAAACTCCACAGGTTCCACAACACATCAAAAGACATTATTCCTAATAGGTAGCTCTCCTGATACGCATTCTAACATGCAACCATGAACATATCATTATGCTAGCTTCTACCATGCACAAGATTCTATAACACATATAACATATCAACATGTATCGGTATTTTGGAATCACTTACTTGAGCTCGGTTGATTGCACGCATCACATCCTTTTCTTTGAAAAAAAAATCTTTTTAGAAAATTTATTTTCTTTAAAAAAATTACCAATTCCACAGTTTGAATTCATACCAAAACAATCGGGATAATCCCCAGTCACCATGTCGTGGCGGACAGAAGGCCATGTTGTAGGAACTAGGTATAAATAGCTTAATGGATTAAGTTGTTTTCCTTCAGCCTTAAGAGCTCCAAATCTCAGATCTGACACCCTCCAAAGGTCTTGATGGATAAAGTTTCTAAATTTATCCGTTAAAGCATCTTAATAAGATAAATCTCTAAACCTAAGTTCTTAATGACCTCATGAAGCTTGAACTTATCCATTAAGCTCTTAATCACCAAATTCATTCATCCGTATTTTCGAGAAGGTTTTCTTATACCCATTGGATCATAAAAATCGGTGCTTTATGGACATGCATTTTCAATGCATGTCTCTTCCATTTTAGGTTAAAAATATGGGTGAAAGGAACTTAAACTTATAAATGGGGCCATAAACTCCAATAAACTCTAGATCTACAACATATGACCTCAAAGGGACCTCAATGATCATTAAAGTTGCCAACTTTATGGAATCATATCCTTCAAACTTCCACAATCATGAAGAAAAGGGAAAAGACACCTAAATGTAGATGCATGGAACTTAAATCTTGGATTTTGAACACTAGAACACTTTCTTCTTCTTCTTCTTTAATCTACCAAAAGTACCAAAATGAGCCAAGAATCGTCCAGAAGGATTAGGGTTACGGTCTATGAGTTTTGAGAGTGATGAAGGCTAACTACAAAGGTCCATGACAGCACTCGGGCTGCTCACCCCGGGTTCACTAACCACTAACAGCACCTGAACTTAACCCTGATCCGCTAACCACTAACAACACTCGCAGCCTAACATAGGCACATATCGAATATGTAAAAACTTTATTATTCCTATCAGGACTTTGGGTTGGGACTTGGACTTCCATGTAACATTCGTAAAATTCTTGAAATTTTTAAACTTTTAAAATAAACCCCAAGTAACCATTGTTTACAAATTGTTTTCAAAACAAGTTTCACATCAGAGAAATCCAAAACTGTAATCCCAAAGCTTAGTGAGTTCCCCTATAATACCAATAGATAACAAATAGCACAAATATTATAACAACATGTAATGGTCCCATAGCTTTACAAACTGGATTACCCCTAAGCCCACAGTATAAGTTTGGCTTGCCCTCATGGGCCCACGGCTTATGTCTGGCTTATTCCCCGGCCTGATCAGTCAACAGAATGAATACTGCTAAGCCCTCACTACGAGTCTAGCATGCCCTGTCCGGCCCTCAGCTCGTATCTAGAATGGTCATGTGTCCTCATTATGAGTATGGCATGCCCTCCCTAGCCCTCAACTAATATTTATCATACTCCAGGGTTTGTTGGCTACAGCACAAAGCAGTACTACCTCAACCATCCACATAATATGTCGACATATAACAGATAATATCATAAACATATAACACGTAATTCACAGGTAGTCCTACAGATCTACCAGACTAGCATAAAAAACTCGCATGCATAACTATATCATACTCAGCATATCGACAATATCAGGTTATCAAACCAATGGGTCGGCCTTGGTGAATTCGACCCAAATGTATAGTAAGGAAGACTCACCTCACAAATAGTTGAACTGATAAGATCTAACTCCGAATGTCAGCTCCCGACTCAAAGCCTACAACCATCATG